ATATCAACTAGTCCCGAGGAGGGCATACTGTAATCCTCCCTGTAAGGTTTAACTTCCGTCCAAAGACAAACGTTTATTTCTTCCAAAGTAATCGGTGTAATTCGATTTTCTTTCGAGATTCGTTGCACGTAACCGTACGCGGATCATCCCTCGGCAAATAGCGTTAAGTAACGCTTAACCCCGCTGATTACACCGTCGGCAGAAGATGAAAACGATAACGTCGGGATATTTCGCAGTTTAGTTAATTTTTAGTGGTTGTTCAACCAGCCTCGGGTACGATATGTTAATATATTCGCAGAAAAAATGAAACGCTCGACGTTAGGGGATTAAATGGTTATGAAAAGTAAGTTAGTTCGTTTTAACTGATTTACAATTAATCCTCTAGACCGGTTACATGCGTCTGGCTCGCGGCTGTAATCGTCAAATTAGCCGGCGCAGTGGTTCGTTTTAATGGAGAGGTTTTGAAAATCCACCGCGACGAAAATACGTGGTAATTAGGAGCGAAGCGAGTCGCACAGAGCGAGTAGTATGGGACGGAATTGATCCGGCGTTACAGGCCATCACGTGAAAGGCTGCCCGTCGGATGTATAGGTCAGGGGTCCGGGGGCAAGGCGCGGGGAATGGAGATTTTCTCCGTTGACACGACGATTTGTACGAGCAACAGGCAACTTTCATTAAGCCTTTTCGAGCCTGGGTACCCTCCTCTCCCGTTCCCCGTCTCTCTCCCTCGCCTGATAAAGCACGAGCCTCGTACTCTCTCCACCAGCTCTGTTCCCTTTGCCTCCACGGGCGCAGTCCCCTCGTCGCGTGTCGAAACGAGCCACATAATCGGGGCTGTAATACCGGCTCTCTCAAAACTGCATCGATGCCTTTTTCAAAGCGAAATTAAACGAACAAAAGCTGGAAAAACATTCTCCAGTCGCTTTTGTACAGCTTCGATCGCGACGCAGCGAATACGTCTGCATCGGGAAAGTATCGGACGTCCGTGATAACGTTTCCTTGCCTCTCAAACCTCGTCCGACTCCCAATCATCGAGTACAAAGGGGCAATATTTGATTTACAAAGTTACGACTTCCGGAACGACCTGTACATCGCGTGCATTTCGTCCCTGCGATGAAATGCTCTCTCGGGTAGGTCACGGTACGCGTATCGGAGCCGGTGTAACGAGGAACGTTCGCAACCTGGTCGTACTCGTGCCGGATGCACGAGAAGATATCCTACCTCGTTAGCATTCCATCCTTTAATTCCGTTTCCCTATTTTCGCTTCTTTCTCTCCGTTGGAATTACCGATTTCCATTGAATCCACGTGCTTTTAATAGTCGAGCACACAGCCCCCCGTCACTTCCTCCTTCGACGTTCCTCGGGGTCTTTTGACTCAATTACGTGTTTCCATTCTTTCCAGCTTCACACCCACGAACCACCCCCCTTCCCTGTTAACGAATCGCGTAAGCAATCGTAATCGAATTCGTTCGCCGTTAATGAAACGTAACAGGATCTCGATAAGAGGTTTGCATATGCATCGGTTGATTGACACCGGCGTCGATTACGAGATGAATGCTACTTTGATTCGCGATAGCGATCCGTTCGATACCTCGCGTAATGAATGCGCCTCTCGATATTCCCCCCGAGCCGCGTCGACGTTCACGAAAACCAAATTTAAATACATTCCATATTTCCCGAACGCGATAGCCGCGCGGCAACATAAATACCGAGCTAATATCATCGATCCGATACACCCGGTTGATTCACCGTTTCGTCGATTCATTTTGTCCCCATAAAAGTTTACCGAATTGCGTTACGATGGTCTGGCCGTTCGCCGCGGTGAAAGTTATATCTCCGAGCCGAGCGTATCGTGTCCACACGCTCTGGGAATACAATAGCACCGACGTTACGTGCACAAGCACACATGGACGGGCGAGAAAAAGCGGCAGTTCTATCACGGGGAGCTTCCCAGCTACCGGCACACGGCGTCAACGACCCAGCCAGAAAACTTGTTTCTTTCCGTGTGTACATAAATATCGAGGAAAGCTCAGCCGTGTGTATAACGTATATACGCGGCGGGATTCGGTATAGGGAGTACGTGCAAAAATGCCAACTTCGCGCTCGATCGAAGAAATCACTCGCGCCGGACTCTTGTCTCCTAACGTCTCTCTCCTGCTTCGAAACTTCCCTGAGAAACTTCTACCTCCGGTTCACCTTCCGTTCTTCTACTTCCATCCATGTCAATATTAAATCGTACGCTTGATAAAGTATTTAAATCCATGATAGAGTTGAAACTATAATTAAATCATACTGCGAGATATATAGAATCCTAGATCGACCGATCGGGCCGGCTGGATACTTTTTTAATAAAGACGGTTGATCAATTTCTCGGGTCACTGTGTATACCCAGTTAACGATGCCTTTTTATCCGTTTCCCATCGAGTGAAACGAGTTGGCCTTACGGCGCGGTGGTCGATGGGAGCCGTGGAACGAACGATGATCCTTCAGGACGATGAGCCGCGTATCGAAGAAAGTAAGGGCGGTCGCGATCCACTCGCGTCGTTTTAACGACACCGTGGATCTACTCGAAGGAATGAGAACAGACGTGGGAGGGTCCGTCGGTCGTTTCATAGCGATCATATAACGAACAGGGCTCCAGAGCTCGGGGGGGTCGGTGATCGAATCGACCCTACGACCTTTTCTACCATCAACCACCCCTGCCTTTATCGTTATTCCGTCGTGAGCGTTTACACGTACAAATATTTCGCGGAGTCACCAGACGTATGCGTAAAATTATACCGTCGGCCATCCCCTTATCGCTTTATTACGGCAACGCCCCGCTGTTTCGACCCTTTACCTGTGTCTCTCCAATTCTACGAGACAATATTCTCACATGACTCTTGGCTATGTACAATGCGAGAACGAATGATTCCGTTTCGCAAAGACGCAGCAGGCACTTTCGCGTAAACTCCCCTGACGCAGCCGCGTTACAACGTGGGGGTGTCTGACTACACGTGTGTGTAAAGTAGACCGGCGAATGAGCGATAAATTCGAAGAGAGACTCGCAAATATATACGATCTATATACTCAGTGTCGTCTATGAGGTACCGAGAAAACAAACATTGATTCTCGGCTCCCTCCGGTACGGTGGTGCGTGCGGAGGTCCAATATTTGTACTCCTCCCTCCGATGAAAGTGTATCATCGCGCATCAATCAAGAAGAACAAACCTCTACCGCCCCGTCGTATGTCGTGTGCGATCCTCTTGTAAGGATTATGTGCTACCTACGTTCTTCTTCCTTGGTAGAATTTCTCTCCTCTCTCTCTCTCTCTCTCTCTCGTTCCTCGTGCCTACATCCAGCGTTTCCGATAATCACGGGTCAACGGCTTGTTAACCCAAATTAAAATACGAACGAGGAGTGAAAACAACTGGGTATTAACGATCGCGGTACGGGCAAGAATTTGTGGTTCACGTGGAACAAATTATGATTTTGAAAATCGATATTATCGAGAACGATGCCCATAGTTATAAAAAGGTTTCTTGCTTATCAAACCAGCCCAGCTCGTTTTAAAGAACGTCTCTCGATAATTGAGTTCCTCGCTTCTTTTCACTCGTCGCATCAGCATAAACAAGGATGAATGGAGCAAATGGTGGTTTATTCATTGACGTGCAATTCTACTTTGCTTCACTCGATCGATTCAAACCGAGCGAGGAAGTCGGTCTACGGAGACGCAACACGCAAACGATGTTAGACATCCGGCTAATTGACCCACGTCGGTTTACCGCACGTTGATTTGGCCACGAATCGAATTGATCGCGCTTGAAATTACCCAACGGAGCCTTGACCTATTCTATCTCAGGAACGTGCCATGATGACCCGATATGAAAATTCTTGGCCACCCGTGATCACGTCCTCTCGTTAACGCAATGAATGAACGTACAAAAAAGAATAGACTTGAAATTGAAATTGCTCGACGACTTTGTACGAGGTTCGTTTAACCGTGTTTCAGTCAAGAGACAACTTGTTGGACGTTTGCTCGTGCAGCGTGGCTCGACGGTCGTACGACTCGATTAGAAATCGCGGCCGGTTCGATGACACTTCCTTTGAATATGTATAGATATGTGCATCCCTAATGTGTATTCGAGCCACGCGACGAGGACGCGTCGAGTCGAGGGAACGAGCATTGCATCACGAGGTTTTCCCCTGGTCGATTGATAGAAAGTAAAACACCGAGTTGAAACTCGAGAAATATATTCGGGTAGTCAGAGAAACGTCCTCTACGAGAGATTCAGACGTCATAAAACGGTAGAAAATGTACAAAGTTTCTCTCGTAGTTTACCGGAACAAAGGTATTTATTGTGATCCAGCGAAATTGAAATCAGTCGAAATGCGGGAATAAAATATAAAATATGAATCCGAGTTATTACTTTTCCTACCATTTGCGTCCCGTTGCCCATTATTACTGTCCTCGCCTCTGACGTCATGCTGCTGCTGCTCCTCGTAAAGATCGTTTCCTCCCGCGGAACCAAATCGCTCTTTTTTCTTCTTATTTTTAAACACCACCTTCGGTGTTCGTAATTGCTCATCCCGCGAATAAGATTCGATCGAAATCGCTACGACCGAGCCAGGAACGATCGATATCCTGCCGGGGTTTCATATTCACGGGACTCGAATCGTGCAAATGCGAGTTAACGATCGTGTTTAAAAATTAATCCTATATTATGTCTCGCAGAACGAACTTTATCGAATTCTGATATGCGCCGCGCAAAACATTGATTACGTGTGTATATGATGCTAATACGATTAATCGTAGCGAGAGCCTTCGATTATGAAGGATCAGAGAATCAAGAACGCGTGCCGTATAACAAAAGATAATTCGATGTTTTTCCTGATACGAAGAATAACGATTTAAGAAGATAATTGAAAAACAGGAATATTCATTAGATACGCTGATACGTGCTGTATAAAATACTAGTTATGCGATCAACAGGAAAGTGTTTGAAATAACGTGCACTGGATAGAAATTGATACGATTTTAATATCAATTCAAAGAGATCGTAATCTAAGATACACAAGTTCAGAATTAATTATTTTTCTTCAAAGGAGGTGTTTTAAAAACTGTACAATTTGCTTTATCGTCGATGCCAATCGTTTAAACGACAGGTCTTTCGTTTCACCTGTTTCTCGTCGGCGTGTTCAGCTAGCAGTATCAACTTTCTCTCAACCGTTCCTATCATCCCATCCGACTTACGAAACTCCGCTGACATACTGCTGTATTATCTTGGTCCACTCCTTTGGATAGCTTCGTTGGATGTGTGAAAGTACCTTCTTGATCTGTCGTACTTCCTCGGGGTTACACTGCGGGCAGGAGCCCCTCAAAACCAGCGGTGCTAAACCTGGATATAACAACGGGCCGGGTTAAATCGAATTCTGCCGCGGTAACTTTATAGAAATTTATCGACGAAGTCTTCGGAGAAACACACGGGACCCCGGCCCCGAGATACAGGGGTATAAATCCGATCTAAGCGATTTGATGACTCGTCGTTCCGCCTCTTACTCGACACCACGCGCCGCGTGGAGTTCGCCATAACAAAACGGGCTTAACTCCGTCGACGGAGATCAATTTACCCCTCGCGCGAGTTCCCTCGTTTCCAGCCCCTGCTCGTCGCGATTCCGACTATTTCTTTTTCTCGCTCTACCCGCCCCCAATTTTGCTACCGATTCATTTTCCTCTACGGCGAAACGTCTGACGGACACGTACTCTTCAGTCGTCTTCCGACGGGGTCGCAGGGAGCTTCTCCCATAGCGCACTTCAACTGTCTCCTCAAGTAACGCTGGTCGCTCAGGGCCATGTTCAGTTGTTCGTCGGAGACTCGGGATCTTCCAGTCTGTCCTTCCTCCGATTCAGCAGCTATAACCGTGCCGGCGAATAGCAGCAGGCCGCAGGTGACTACCAGCAGCTGGAACATTATTCGAGATAGTTAACCACGCCAAGTTTCATCTTTAACCTTCCAACGATGGCCTTTCCCTCCCATGGTGTGACACGGCACGATCGATCGTGCTTCGACTGATAATTACGACCGAGGGAAAAAAAACCTTCAGAAAGTCGTTCGTGACTTCTTCAATTTTTTATTCCTCAAGTTATTACTTAGAAGTAATACGATTTTCGATATTGGTAATTAACTACCAAATGAATTTTAAAATCCCTAATAGGAAGCTTTTAAGCATGAAATGTACTGTAATTCGAATCACGTTGCGATACTAGGGAAGAAGAGGATCATTTAATGAGCCACTTCTGAGGTTCTGGAGAGATTCCGGAAGGGGATGATCGGGCCAGCTACTAATAAAGGGATGGTTGACGGGTAAACGGAAACGTCGAAGACGAAGGAAATTAGCGGATATAACGGGGCGAAGGTCGAGACTAGAGAATACGCGAGCGCGGTAGATACTTGCGCGAATGTCTACAGTATGTATAGCGAAAGGAGATAAGGAAAAGGCTAGCTGTAGACAGCGGCTAAACGTGGTCCCGGGAAAGCACGCCAAAGCTAACATAGCTAAACAAGCGGCAACCACCGTGAGTAACGACGGCATGCGCTCACCTACGACCCTCCGTTTGTTTGCTACCCTCGCTGCGCTTAACCCTTTCTAGCCCCTTCGTGTCTCGTTCCAGTTATACGTCGCGACTAACTAACGAGCTACGTTTTAAATGATTCCTCTCGACGTTTAATCCTCGGTGTTTAATCTCTCCTAATCGTCATTTGCATCGATTATGTGTTTCCTCTTTATTTGACAAAAAGGCGTACGCAAAATTCAGAGACGAAGCACCTGCCACAAATCGAAAATAGATGGAATTGATTCGAAGGATAGACGGTGGAAATTGGTACAAGGGAGACGAATCTACGCGTCAGCTTTTTTTGCGATCTAAGCTTCAGATTGCTTGTCCATCTCCTGGCAAGTCTATATTCTGTTTCTATCTAAAGACAGCCGGATAGTTTCTATCGGATCGCAGTTGCTTGACGAATGAACATATTTCCTCGGTTTATTCGAAGTTCCCGTGCACGCGACACCGCTCCACTTTTTCATCCTTTCGACACACGACGCGATGACTGATATTTCGAAGTTCAATTTTATTTTCGTCGCTTTTCACCTCTCGACCCCGGGACGGCATGGCCTGCGACTATTGTGCTCGCTTTCAAACTATGGCGTTAATTAAACTATCGCAGTATCGTTTCGATCCGGAACACACGATCCTTCGTTTTTATTTTTTTTAATCGTTTCCAACTACTCCATTTTCGCTTCTCTTTTTCTCTTTCCAATCTCGTCCAACGCGTCGAATAAAAATCATTATTCACGTGATTTTCGTCTGCCACGTTTTGGTAAAATTCTCTCGAAAGTTTCGTCGTATTTTTCCAAACTGTAGAAATCGAAATACATATCAGAAGTACCTGCTAATTGGCTGTCAGAGGCGCTTTTCGTACTACTGGTATTCAGCGTGATCTGCATCTTTGTAAGCAGGGTCTGATATTCCCGGGAATGTTAATAATCGCGTCGGTTCCCTGTAAATCACCGCCACAGCCGCGTGTATATGTGTAGACAGGGATGATTTGTAGATTGGATGCGGGCTCAGGCACGCAAACCGCTTACTTCCGCGAATCGACGCGGATTATAAGAATTATTGGCCGGCCTGAATGGCAAATGGCCGGGCGTGATATAGATTTTATTGCTGTCACGTTGCGTCGCTCGCTGTCGGTCCTTCGCAACGATAGCTACCATAACGTCCCGGGTTATTACGTCCCAGCTAGACGCTGCTCCTCCCTCGACTGCGGCGCATTCCAACGCGTGGGTCCTACGTATGGCTCGTTAATTATCGTCACAGTCTATGAATGATAATTCACCGGTTAAACCGGGGGTAAACATTCCCGTCCCGGAAAACTCGCGTGCTGGTTGTAGCTGTAATATTCCGTCGCTCGATGCGTGGCCGCACCACCGCGGGGATGCGCACGAAGCTGACAATAAATCGTAATTTATTGTTCATGTACGACCAGCGCGGAAAGCACGCCGTTCCTAGTTATTAAATTAATTTACAATCGCCTAGTTATCGGCTACCGACAGACAATTACACGAGTCCTCGCGATGGCCACACTCAATACCCGTCCGATGGATCACGGTTCAACGTAAATACCGAATTTAACGAGAACGCCTGAAACACCTTTGACGTGGTTGTCTCTCTTCCGAAAGCGACGGGATCGTCGTCACGAGCGAACGGCCAAGACACGGTTACGAGCGATTCGTTATTCGCCGCGCAGTTCACCGTTTCGAAACAGCCTATTGTTCGCGACACACCGTCGAAAAAGGGTTTCGATACGCTACCTCTGGAATCGAGCTACATATCGGAATTTAATAACTTTTTCTCGCGATTGACGAACAGCAAAACGCTTTTCCACCGTGGAAAATAAATGCGTCACGATTTTTATTTTTTTCTTTTTTCGACATCCAGCGCAGAGACCTAGAACAATGTTTGCGGGGAACAGCTTCGGCACAAAAGTTCTGACGGGGCTTATTTGAAATATCGCGCTAGACGATGCTCCGTATTTTTTCTCGTCCTCTCGAATCTTAATATAAATAAAATATAGGCGGCGGGACAATGGAAAGCGTTGTAGAGAGATCCTCTTCTCCGCGAAATGACTGAGAAATTCGTTGCCTCTCGACGTTTATTGGGTCTCTAATATCGCGAGGATTTCCACCGCTCCCTCTGCTCCTCTCTCCTCTTTTTTCCAACCACCTCTCCCTTATCGTCTCCCGGTGCGCGCACATTAATACGAACGGTACACACGATTCGCAGTTACGTTCCAGAAAACTGGTTCCTCGTGGCTGCAGCGTATATACATGCAGCGTATTACATTATAGCGGCACTTTCGATCGTTTCACAGGAAACCGTGACAGCCAATGCAATTGCCTCTTGCATTCACCCAAACATTAAACTATCGTTCTCGCGAAGAAGTGAAATTCAATTCGAAAGAAGTGACAGCTATATTATTACCGATCGTCGAATCGAGAGTTACATGGACAATAATTTTTCCAATAAGTACATCGCCGTTCGTGAATCGATATTTTCGTATTAAATCAAACGAGCATTTCGTTTCCTACTCTGTCGTTCGTAAGCCACTGATCTATTAAAAGAACGTTCAGAGAAGAGTAAATACTATCCAACGAGACATGATGACAAGAATTGCAAGCAGTTTTTCGTTTCAGTATGAAATCGATACGTGGTTTAACGGGCGCACGTTTCGAGTCAGATTTCAAAGATCCATGGGAGAACCGGAATCGACGCGAGATACGTATCGCATTTGCGAATGATTTTGGCCGTCGTCCCGAATCCGGCAAACTGAAATCGCGATGAGGGAGATTACCGTGATAATGGGGCTATTTAAACGTGGAACGATCCGGTATTCCCGTTACGTAGGCTCGGATCGGGGGAAAACCTACAGATACGTGACTCCGAAAACACCGATAGCCCGTGCTGCCGATAACTCGTCTTCTAAATATATTCAAGAGCGGAAGGAGTCGAGTCGATCCGATCGGGCCGGGCCAGGCTTCCGGGACGGTGGGTATCGAATTCACCGATCGTGTACGGGGCCACCCTCTCGCCTCGGCGGAGAACCAGGCGACGCCGAAACGGGGGAGAACGAGACCGGAAGACGAAGCGAGAGAGAAGCCCCTCCGGATACTGCGAAACTTTAAATCACCGAGCGTACGTGTATGTACGTAGAGCGCGCGTGTATCTACCTGTTGCACGTTCGTCACTCACTCACCTTGATTGCGAACGCCATGTCGGTGGTCGTCGGTTTGCGACGAATTTCAAGGGTTCCCTGATCTCCTTTTTTCTTCCTCGAACCGTTGAGAGAGGTAGAGAGACAGAGAGAAAAGAAGGTTCAGAGAAGCGTCCGGAGGGAACCTGACCGACAGCAAACGTGCTGTTCTCACAACGAAATCTCGGGACGCACTGGCCAGGAGATAGGACCGCGGCTTTTTCCTCCCCTTCTTCTACCGATAAACACGAAAGTGTGTGTAGCCCGCGACGACACGATGATATATACCGCCGGTTCTACCGACTTCGGACACCTCTCCGTACACCGAGGCACGTTTATGAGGTAGGGGAAACCCGAGACATGCGTGAGTGTGCGCCACGACACGGAGGTTCTCCCCTTTCTCGCGCTTTGCTCGTTAAGCTAAATAACCGAAGTTACAAAAAGTTCGACTCGAAGGAAAACTGTTGACCCCGCGTCACCGGCATTGTACGACGTATTAAGTTTCAAGCGTCTTACTAGAATAATTCGTAAGAATCTAGCAGCTTCGACGATACGATAAAAAGTAAGCCAAAATAAGAATTATGAAACTCGTAGACTAAGCGTAGATGGAATCTTATCCAATGGTCCCAAAATTAGAATATCAAAAATTATTATTCCCTGAGGTAAAAAAGCACGTCGTATAAAAGTTCATCGCAAACAAACACAACCTTCCATTCTTAAACTCGTGTCAGAGATCTTAAAGCCCGTACGACCCTGATTGAAATAATTCCAGTATTGATCAGCCATCTAAAATACTATTTACATATTTATTGATATTTCTACCATAAGAGAAGCTGATCCGAATTCATTGATTAAAATGTAAATGATATTTCTAGTTCAATTAGCTTCAAGAGCAGTCAGTAGCTTTTCCGCGACCGTGATACATGTCTGTGTTACAGAAAGTGTTAAACTTCCTCTGTGAACGCGTTGCGCTTTCTTTACCTACGCGAGCCATACCACTCGAAGCAACGCAGATGCGCGCTTTCTTCTCAACCTCTTTTCTCAACGAACCACGCGTTCCTCCGATCGTTCCAATGGAAAACCGATTCCATTTCTCCTTTATTCCTCTCTATCTTTTTGCTCTTTCTCCTAACTATTCAATGCGTCTCGCGCTCCTTGACATCGATCTTTTTTGCGTATCCGCGGATGCCGTTCAATTAACTTTTACGAGCAACCGTCTGCCTAATGGCCTGTTTTCCTATCCCGTACGTTTTTATTTTTCCACTATTAATCACCCGAGGTCCTCATCCTCGAGAAGGAAACACAACTCCTTGTCGCGATCTCACGTAATTCTCACAATTAATTTCGTCGTAAAAGTCCTCGAAACATTTGTATCAATTTATTTTGAAGCAAGTATTTTTTACGTATTTGTCGATCGGTAGTTGACCATCTTGTTACCGAAGAAATTACAAAATAACGTTAAGAGATTCGGTGAAGCCAGAGGCAAATGGTATCAGCTCGACGTTGATAACTTCGAGCGATGGCTGGAGGCAATGTATCCGCTTCCGGTTATGGAACGACGTTGAAACAGCGTTTTAAATCGTTTAGAAAGTTTAAAGATACAGGTTCTATCCTTGGACGACGATACCTGGCGTTCGTTTTTCCAACAAGATCGGTGGAAAACGAAGTCGCGGATGGTGCCAGTGAGTGAAAGAGGGACAGATAGAAATTCCGATAAAGCCGCGGATTTCACAGGCGATCGAACCCCGGCGCGCGTTCTCGCTCTCGAACGTGTGCGTCCGTCCACAACGATAACAGCCGGCGAATCGGTGCGAAGAAAAATCGGTTAAAAAAAGTATCGCGTGGGTGATCTGCCGTGAAATACGATTAAACTGTTCACCGAAGGGTAGACGCTCGGCCGGAAGGAGGAGGAAAGCGTAACGAGGCCGATTCGGAACGGAACGAAAGGATCAACGAGTCCCACGCGATACGAAACTTACCCGAGTGGGAGTCATCGTGCCTTGTATCGATAAAGATTACACGGACCAGGTTCGTTCGACCCGAGAAACTCGGACTGCCTCGACGCGTTCGATCCTTTTTTTCCATTCCCCGCTCCGATTTCTTTTTTCTCGTCCCTCTGTCACCAGATGCCCTCCCCTTATTTTCCTCTCTTCGGCGATTCGTCGTCGAGAAGCTTTTCAATGGACACAGATCGCTTTTGAGGCGACCGAAACGAATTCGCCGAACAAGGATGACCAGGTAACACGTATGACGTTCGTTGGCGTAGAATTACGTACCAGTCGTCGTTGGTCGATCTCGTCCCGCGGTCGTTTAAAATCGAAATTGACCTCTTACTCTTTCGGCGGGAAGGGAAAGATAACAACGCGGTTCGGTACGGTTCGTATCGGGTCGCGGAAGCGGCGCGGACCCCACGAGGGCGTGCGATCGATCCGCGGAAACGATTTAACGATCCGGAACGGCTGGACATCGCACACCGTCTGGTTTCTGGAGGTCACGCGCTACCAAACACCGGCGACCAAAATCCACGATGAAATTCGAGCGTCGGGTACGCCGTCATTCACAATGGCCACGCGGCGCGGTGCAGTGCGCGCATTCCCAGCGCGTGCTGCGGGATCCTTAACTGGCAAATAAATTTACCATGAACTGGATGAACCGTGAGAGCGCGTGGCCCATTAGACAGCGCGAGGGAAAAAGACGAATCCTCCGGTCCAGGGTTAATCGGTTTACGGAAAATTCGAATGATTCCGCGTGAACATAAATTTCGTTTTAAAGCTCCCGACTAACGCGAATCGTTTTCTGTAAATGTAATTGCTTCCACGAGCTACGAGTTCGCCCTGGAAGTTCTTCTTCTTACGTTACTCTTTCCCTCTATATTGATTCCGTTTGTCTAGATAACTTGACTCGTAACTGTTCATACACTTTCTCTCGGCCGAGCGAAGCCCGCGCGTGGCGAACAGACGGCGACACGAGGACGTGCGACGTAGCTACAAGTGAAATTACGGTGGCGGCGCGACGCGCTGCGAAGGACTCGCTCGGTTTCGACCGGATACGAGGGAATAAACGTGTATCCGAGCGTCCTACGTAACGCGTCACCGGGCTCAAATGTTCCTTGAAAACCCCGCTTTCTAGGCTACCTCATAATTTATAAATTATCGTTTAGCGACGGGAAAAAAAAAAACTGTCGAGTTTTACTGACTTGCTTTCGCGACCGAAGAGCAATAAAAGTTTCTCATGAACATGGGAGGATTGGAAATTTGTTATCAGTTTCGTAGTCACGACGGCGTGTAACAAAATCAACAGCGCTTCGACGGTGCGAAACGGTGTTTAAAAACAGGTCAACTGACTTCCGTCGAGGCGTGAACATTTTTCTAAAGTTCTCGTCGATAGAATTAAAAGGCAGTCGAACGAAGGGTGTATCGAATTTAAAAACGACACACTGTTCTTTCATCCGTGTTTCAAAGAACGTTCTCTGGTAGGGTATGCGCGTCTTCCGATCCTCGCCAAACTGGAAATTCCAAGGTGAAAGTTCACTGGAACGCGTCGCGGTCCGTTGAACGCGTGCGTGCCCGCTTTCTGAGAGAAAGTAGGAAAAGTTTGAATCCCCGACACTGAATGGAACGCCCATTTCTTGGAAATAACTTCGGCCAGCGTTTGTCTCGTAAGAGACCGAAAGAGAGAGAGAGAGACAGAGAGAGAAATAAAAATAGATCGCCGACGTAACGAAGATTAGTAATTTCTCGCGGATGACGTCGGAATCGCGTTTCTAGCTTTCGAAGAGGAGCAATCGAACGGTGCCGATGGACACTGACGCGTAACGATAACGCGTAAAAACCGGTGCGCGGCGTCAGGCCGCAATGCCTCGTCCTGCCTTGTCCGTGTCAGTTTGAACGATCGCCACTGTAATTTCGTCCGGACCCGGTTTATTGCCGAGCCTCTGACCTGATGGACAACAACTGCTTCGTCGAAATATTCCACTCCGCGCCGATTCCCTGCCGTGGCAACCTTTATTTCGTGGAATATTCCCAAAATTGATACGGATTTTCGACGGAAAACGTTTTATCGAATTTCAACCGTCGCCGATCGATGCCATTTATTTTACGATATATTTGAAAATTGATACGCGCGGGATTTTCGATGTAAAGTGTTTTCCGAATCCGAACTGTCGACGTTCATTTTGTGAAATGTTTACGAATTTCCGATGCGATCTTTTTATTCCTATGAAATACGCGTAATGTACTCTTTGTGCAAATCGGCATCGAAAATATACGCATATATGTACATATATATAACGAGCAGTTTCTCGGAGATTTATCATTCCCGAACAGCGTATAACGGTTTAAAGCGATGTGGCAAACCGTACCAATCCCGATACGCGAGTTAAGGCCGAAACCCAAGCGAACGAGTAGGGTAGAGATGCGTCGAAAGATCGGATCCTTCGTTCGATCGGGAATCCTTCTGATGAATTCGATTTGGAGGCAACTGCGGCTTTCTGTAATTCGCGTAAATCGGTCGTTCTTATTCAGGACACGCGTGTGCGCACGGCAGATTGATTGGCATGCCGTATTTGTTTGGGAAATGCCGCTATTTGTGGAATCCATTTGCGTCGAATCCTCGATTGCCACATCTCACGGCCACCCACCCGACTTTCAATCCTTTGTCCCTCGAACCTTTTCCTACCCATCGCCCTTTCCCTCCACGTTCTCTCCGTCGCCCCGGGGCAGAGATTAATTGCAAAAATTCATTTCGACCCTCGTAGCAGCTATATAATGCGATGAATAGTTCGTTCCGTTCAACAAGAATTGCGGTATTTCGTACAGACGTTAAAGATGCTCGTCGCACCCGTTGAATTAAACTAATTGTATTCGTTCTGTCGTGAATCTTTCAATTATCTGACGAAGCTCGAGGTAGTAGTCTTTCGCTGTCTGTAGACACACGTATACCACTTGTACATCTTACCGAGAGCAGAAACCTTTTTTAAAATAGATTGTACAGCCTCCTTCCTCAACCGCTCTCTCTTGTAATTTCATGCAAATTCTATTTTGCAATTTTTAGAACGCTGTTCTCTCATTCTAATTTTTTTACAATAATTTAAAATTCTCATGAACATCGTAATCGTTGTGAACGTCGTAAAAGCAGTTCTTGAGGTATAATTAAAAACGTCAGTTGCACGAGGAGTCAGTTACAAAAGGAAACTTTGAAAATATCTCGTTTATCGTAACGCCGTAAGTTTAATAGCGGCATGAACGTACAGTTAAAATTGAAAAAGGAATTCTCGCG